TATTTGAGGTGTTTGTTTGAAATTTGGACGATGAAAAACATTATTTTGAGAAGACAAATAACATATCTCAAAACTAGCATTATTTCAGGTAATGATTTTTTTACGGGAATCAAATATGGGAATACAATTTCGAAAAAAACTATTCTCCTTTGTAATGATCTTTCTCGCGAAGTAAATGCCCCGTAAAGGGATATTGTTTTTCTTTGAAGTCATGGATTCAAACAATTATGGTTATAAATATGTATGCATTATCAATCATTTAAAAAGATTAAAATTATCACGAACTAAACGATCTCAGTGATTAAGGATTTTGTTGTTATCCTTTGAAGTTTCGGGTTCTAGTATCACATATGTCAGGAGTATGAATGTTCGTTGTCAAAAAATTCTAAGAGTTTTTGCACGTATACTACCTTGTATTCACCGTAGATTTTTATAAAAAAAGATTAAGAACAAATATTACCTTCTAATTACGGGTGAGTGTTCAATCGAGTCGAATCAAAAAATATCTAGTTATTCGAGTTGACGAGTTATATTTTATAACTCGAACTTAATTTAAATTTGTTGACTCGAGTCGAGTTTGTAAAATTCAAGTCGAGTCGAGTTGTTCGAATTTTTATTTAAATTTAATTATAAATATTTATAATATTATATACTATTTAATTTTAATTTAAACGATTTTATATAACCATATACAATACATATATATTTTTTCATATATAATATACATATATTATACAAAGTCGAGGGACTCGACTAAAGTTTAAAAATTAGTTCATTAATCACTAAAAATTTCAAGTTTTTCAATTTATTTGAGTTATATTTTATATCTCAATTCGAATTTAAATTTTTTTTCAAATCAAATTGAATGAAAAAAATTAGTTTTCGAATGGAATTAAGTTTTGCTGAGTCCATTCTTGTAATCATCTACTAGGATAAATTTTTTGTTCGGTTTATTTGATTTTCTTTTTTGGGGTTTAAAACTGAAACCTTCAAGATTGAGAAATGATGGCACGAATGCTACGAACTCCATTTCTCTCACTGTCTATATCTCAGGTACTTCACTCATACAGTCCAAACTCTCTTCCTCGCACATTTTCCTTCTAATTTTCTGCTTTTATTTTCCCCCCATTTTCAGCTACCTTTTTGCTCGCTTCAAATCCTTTCCGGCTCTCATGGACGGTAATTTCCCTGAAAATTTTGTCTTTTTAGTCAGAAATTGAATATTTATTGCTGATTCTAAGCATATACGCTAATTTCGTTTAGGTTTTCCCTTGGTTAGGGTTTATAGACACTTATTACTTTCCAATTGTATCTTATTCTAGAGTTTCCGTTTCGTGTTAATTTTAAAATCGAGTTTATTTTGAGGGCTATGTTAATAAAATTAAAATACTGCTATCATATAAGTTAATAATAGCTAGACTTGATGTTAGTTTCTTTTGATTTTGTTTATTAATTTGTTAGAGAATATCATTTTATGAAGATATATTTTCTACCTATATGCAGTTCCGGTACTCAAGGGACTGAGATTTTTCGTGATCGTATTGGAATCTCATCAAATATGATCTCTATTTATGGATTTAGAACGTATTGCACTGGCACTGATAAAGGTGCGTGATAATCAATGACCATAGATCATCATTGTATAATGTTAATAGTGTGGAGCGAAGCCACATTACTGTTGATCTGTTTCTTTCTGAATCAAGACTGTGTTTTTTGTTAGTTATCATGATGGTATACCATTCTGGAAAAGATTTAAGACCTTCCCTTGTGAACATTTTTTGCAAGAGGCAAACCGAACGCATTTTTAGTTTACAATATCCTTGAGAATTGGTTATTAGCATTTTTTATGGAATGGTGGTTGAAAAGGTTTTAGAATGGACTGCTTTTTAATTACTCTTAGATTGTAACTTGCAAGTTGAGAGAAAACGGTTCCCTCTTAGTTCAACGGTTAAATTTATTTCTCATTTTGACTTTGAAAAAAATATTTTTCTTTCATGCTCTTTCTTATTGTAGAAATTAAACACAGTTTCTTTGGCAGCCTAAGACTCTCTTAACTTCGTTCTTTATTATTCCATGCTGCATTCTTTTTTCGGAGCCAAAAGCATCAATTTATCTTGCCATGTCATATGATCTTGCACTTTGTTTTGATTATGCTGAGTTTAAAATGTAGTATTGGACTTCATTAGCTGAACTTAGAATGAATAAAGGCTATGAAATGGGATTAAGTTGGTCAATTTCCTTAATGAATGACTTTTTTCTGGAACCATCCTCAATTTTCGAGGTGTCGTTACTTTTTTAGGGGATTAAACCTGTATGATATGCTGTGATATATAGTTACTCTTTTCCTCACTTGATGGTCTGATTTTTTTCTGTATTACAGTAGTAGCAGTTCTACATATTGGCTGTCATTAGTTTCTGACATTTTATGATGAAATTATATTTGATCATAATGGATGGTTCTTGTTGCCTCATGTGGTTGATTGGCTTTGTTAGATCTGTTGACTAAGAAGTGTGTTCCGTGTAACTCAAAGGATCTACGGTCTATGACGGAAGAAAGTGCAAGTAAATTAATTCCAAAGGTATGTTTTCAAAATATCTATTAATTTTTTTCATTATATAAACCGGAACCTTTACTGCTTAAGTTTTGATCAGGTGGATGGTTGAAATTTGGTAAATGAAGGGGGTACATTGAAGCTAAAAAGGTCTTGGAAAGTAAAGAGTTTCACCAAAGGGCTGGAGATGTTTCAGCTTATATCTGATATTGCTGAAGCTGAAGGTACATTGCAGAATCGTTTTTACTCGATATATATCTCTGATGAAAGGAAATGAATGTGTAATCGACTTTGGAGATTTTGGTCATTGCATGGACGAGTGAAAGGATTGTTGTTAATGCAGGGCATCATCCAGATCTGCATCTGGTCGGATGGAACAATGTAACTGTTGAAATATGGACTCATGCTGTCGGTAACTATTATCTAGCCCTTGAAAAGACTAAATTTTTGTTCTTCCTTTTTGCTTCTTTTACTTGTGCATTTGATAAGGATGGTTTCTATTTACTTTTCCTTTGGTCATTAATCACCCGGCTTTTACCTGTTCTCATGCCTGATGAAAAGCAAAGGTTCTCTGTTTCTTGAATGATTTTGCGAGCATGCTGTTAATCTTGTTTCTTTTAACTATTTAGTATTTACTGTTAAAACGAATTAAGAGACGGAGCTGGCAAATTTTATCTAAGCTTTGATGGAATTAAGGCTTTAATTCTTCTCTAACTTGTATTGTTCAAATGTGAATATTCCTTCTGAATAGGCGGACTTACGGAAAATGACTTCATTCTTGCTAGCAAGATCAATGCTCTCGACCTGCACTATCTTCTCAGAAAGAAAGTTAGATAGGTATCCATGGAATGTTAAAGTATACGCTCCTAATAATATGTTTTTGCTTTATTGAAACTTACAAGTTGGAAACAATTGTGTTCCCTCTGCAACATTGCTGGTTAATCCTTTTTTCTATTAAATTTTGACGAGGATTCGACAAACATGGATAAGTAGATACATATAGCTAAAGCACATGAAATTTGCCAATGCTATATTTACATAGAATTAATATGAGTTTCCAAAGGTTTGGTTGGTTGGTTTTGACTTGCATTTTATCAAATTCTTGTTTATTGCCTCCAAATGAGATCCATATATTTATGTTGGATATTTGAAGCCTTGCTTATCAACTTCTGTCCCTCCCTGTTGGGACCCCCTTGCCGCATTGATGAACCCATGAATGGATATCATGTGTTGCATTATGTAATGTGAACTGGTCCCCAGCTTGGTATTATTTACTTAGAAACCTAGTGAAGCAACAATACCCAGGATTTCCCTTCCCAGATTAATTTGTAGAATAGAATTAATAAATATAGAACAGATGTGGAAGCTGATGACTGGACAGCACGGTTGCTGCTTTTTTTTTCTTCGGATAAATGCATTTTTATTTATTCAGAAGTAGCAATCGGTTATAAATAAAGAACCACATAACTGAAGCTATCAACACAAACAAGAGCAAATCCCCAACACCAGAACCTACCTACTAAGGTGAACTAGGCAAACCCACAAAAAAAGTCAATCCAATCCTCATTTAATGCACAAATTCCTATTAACATAATTAATCTTGTGAACATTCTTTCCAAACAACCACCTCCTGACAGCCTCTTTAACCCGAGTAATCAGAGCTTTCTCCTGCGTCTACTTCCCCTGAAAAATCCTCGTATTCCTCTCTTTCCAAATTAAATAAACAGCAAAATTTCAAGCAAGTTTAAGTACAATAGTAGGAAGAGTCCTCCCCCTAAACATGCTAGTAGCCCAATTCAACTCTGCATTCCAGTTCATAATTTTCCTATGCAAGTTGCAAGCCCTTAAGACCCTAGACCAAACATTTTTAGGAAAAGGGCACCCAAAAAACAATGGTCCCTAAACTCCTGATTATCATCACATAGCACATACCCTCTCTCAACCTGGATGCCAAAAGCAGTAAATCTCATAGGCAATCTATTCAAAATAACCATCCATGATAGGATCACCGAGTGCCTATGAATATAGGAGGTGTGTCAAACTAACTTATGTCAAGAAATACTCTCCTTCCTAGTTTTGATCATATCCCATAACTTTGCAGTCCCAAGATTAAGAGTAATAAACATACCAGCCGGGAGGACCGCTCTACTTGAACGAATAAGGTTATATTTGTGTTTGTTTATTTTTGAAAGAGTTCATGTTCGTTTAAATTTTTAATACCGTGTTTGTTTTTGAATGTGTTTATATTCGGTTCATTTAGTGTTTGCGTTAAAGAAAAATGATGAAATTATGCAACTAGTCTTTAAGCTCATCCGATTTCACATTTTAAACTTTAAAATTACGTACTTTAGAGATGACATTAATCCTATATTAGATCATAAATTTTAACTTTAGAGATCTCATCAGGGGAGACAGCCCCGATAATGATATAACATAATAACAAAGAAGTTGAAAAATGAAATCGGGCCATCTACTTCGACCACGTCAATATAAATTAAGAGACGACATATGTATGTATGTATTGGACATCTACGATCTTTTAAACATGAAGATGCTCCTTAAAAAAACCTAATCCACATCAGCAGAAGTAAACAAATACGTTGCTTTTGTCACTTGATCAGAGGCTTTTCTTCCAGCTTTTCTTAGTGCAGTTGTGGCATGTTTCCTTGCAACCAAGCAACGGTGATCTGACATTAATATCTGTCGGAAAAGAACAAAAAAAAACATCGGAAATTCAATGGTAATCCATTAAAAATGTAAACCACATACAATTCACCCTCTAATTTACCCAAGGCCATTGGAAAGGCTTCGGGTGCATCAAAGCCGAGTTTTATGATGGATCTGTCGGAACTCGTAATACCAGAGGAAGCCTTACTATGGCTTCTACGGTGCAGAGAAACGTGTCGAAAGCTTTATACAGAAAAGTTGTAGAGGTTTTTCATAATGATAGGATACGAATAACAGGATTGCCATCTATGGTAAACACCCCACATGATCAAATTAAAATGTTTCTCAAACAAGACACAAGAAACAAGAAACGAAAGCTTCTGAGTGTTTTGATGAACATGAACAAGCGTGAACACTAGATGTCAAATGATTGTTTTATTCAGCTCATATAATCGGGAGCCTTTTCCATCTTCACACTGGACTACACACGATCCACTTTTTGACAATGAAACTCCATCCTCGGAAAGACATTATTCGAACTCTCAATTATATTGTACTTAACCGGCGACATCATATCATCATAACCTTACTTGGAATGCAATTATGTTCTTGGTTTTCTATGTTGGCAATATGAACCTATCCAGTTTCCCTAAAATACTATTAGATATATCATCGAACATGAGTATGAGGTATGATTCTCCAAATATATTAAAAAAAACTAGGAAAATTTTGAGTATGACTGTCGCACACATTCTCGTATGTATCCAACACTTATATCACGACTCCGAGTATCATAGGCAAGAGCAGAACAAACTCAAACGATTTCAGATGAGGGTCAGAGTCAGAGAGACAAAGACAGATTCAACATCAGATATGCAACAGTTTCATTCATTATAACATTGACCTTAAACAACAACAATTCACTTCAATGCCACTAATATAATTCAATATGAATATGCCTCGTCTTCACCTCAGATCAAATAGCAACCTTAACCAAGAAATGCAGTAAAATTACCTCAAAAATTCAAAGAATCCTCAAGCTTTGAACCCAAATCATCACCTTGAAACAGGCTTCTGCAACACAGCAGTCAAGTAAACTTCCCCATTCTTCAAACCACTTGGATCAGTCTTATTAGCCACTGCCCACTTCACTCTCTTGTACCCAAGTTTCCCAATCATTGGCTCATAAACTTTCTCCAAATCCACTGCTTTACTAAAGAACCGGTCCACCCACAAATAGCCTCCTCCTCTCAACACTCTATCCACATCATAGAACATAAATTCCATCACCGTTGAAGGTATCCACCGGTTCACCGCCCTCCCGCACCGGACCAGATCCATCGTCCCGTCGAAAACCGGCAGCCTCTGCTGCAAAGGCACGTGTAAAGGCAGCAACCCTCTTGCTGCCACTGCTTCATTGTAAGGTGCATTGACGTTCATGGTGGTGGTCAGCATCGTAACATTGTAGAAGATTTTCATCAAAGCAGCGAATGTCCCAGTTCCGCCGCCTATGTCGATGCCGAGACGGATCACAGAGTTAGCCGACTTAGCCAATTGCATGAAGCGGTTAACCGGAAGGTCGAGCTCGGAAGCGTATTTCAGCAGGGATGAGCGTTGGGTATTGAGATCAAAGCCTATGGGGTTGTTTTGTAAAAGACAAGCGAACGATTTACACGAGTATCTGTTCCAGATTACGGAGGAGTCGGGGAGGGCGGTCGGGAAAGGGTTAAGAGGAAGAGAAGAAGTGGGTTTTGATGGGGTTTTCGAGAAGCAACGCCGCCGTGGGAGTGGGTGGCAGCCGTTGAGAATAAGCGTTTCTTGGAGGTCGGGATCAAAAGGGCAGATCGAGAAAGGAGTATAATTCATGTACCTATGGAGAAGGTCAGGGTGGTGGCGGCAGGAAGAAGCAATGGGACCGATTTGGGAGTGAAGGATTAGATCTTGAGGCACGACGGGCTTGCCGGAGGAGGAAGTGGATGGACTGCGGCGCGTGAGGTGATTGATGGCGGCGCGTATGTGGTCAAGCTGACGAATGAGGTGTTCGGGGATAGGAATAGGGACATTCGGAAGAGGTTTGGGAGATTGAACGGTGGTAGAGAGGTGATAAAGGGAGATTATATTGGTAGCCACCATAGCTAAGAGAAGAAGGAAGTTTAATCCCATAGTAAAACCCATTGATCTCTGCCTCTGGCCTTCTTCCTCCTCGCCACTCCTTCATACAAAGATGCTTACTTTAATTCCTGGATCTTGGTGCCTTAATTTAGTCTTCTTTGTCACTTGTCAATTTCCAAATAGGTTAAAGCTCATCATCTCTCACATGTCATTTGCCTTTTCCTTCTACTTGGAGTACTGAGTAAAGATATTATCTTTTGCTTTAAACTGTTGGAGGTGAGATTATGGGAGTTGAATGTGAACCAAGTGAGTCAGGAACCTGTTAAGTAACAGATAAGAGTGTGAAATCAAAAGTGAAAAAGAGTGTGGAAAATGAGGTGGCTGGGCCATGGCAGTGGGTATTACTGTTTCTTTGGTAAAATCACACAGAATCTGGGGGACAAAGCCTGCTTTTGTTCATTTGTTTTTACCTAAAATAATAATAGTTTGGGAGCAGTCATGCTCATCCTCTTCCTCTTGCATCATGAGGTAGACTTTTGTCATTTTGGCTTCCTCTAATTGCATCAAACAAGGAAAGATATTTAGGATGCCCGGGAATCTCTTGATTTCGTAAGGGTGCGTTTGGTTCGGGAAGAAATTTTTTTTTGAAATTATATTTTCAAGTTTAGTTTACAGAATCTTATATTATTAAAAATACTTTTTGTAATAGTAACATTCTTTTGTTAAATGGTGGGAATGTCATTATTTTTAAATTCTTAGGTAATAAACAATTCTTACAATTTTGGACAAGAATACCCTTATATTAATGAATTCTTTTTTATAATTATCATTCTAAATTCTTATTTTTATATTTTACTCAATATTATAAAAATAATAATAATATACAAAGAGTTTGATTTACTAAAATATTAATAATTTTGATAATTTAAAATATTTTATATTTTTAATATTCAATATTTTACTATTTATAATTTTATGGGATTAAAAATAGTATTTGTAAAAATGTAATTATTTAAAATAATATTTAATTTTTAGTTATTAAAAAACAAATCTTATATAATCGAAAAAAATATCATTATCCACTACCATAATATTATTTTTTGTATTATATTATATTTTATAAATTAATATTAAAGTTTAACTTAAAAAATATATCACAAGGATAATTTGGTAAAATATGCATCCAAGTAATCTTATATTCCTCCAACCAAACACTATAATCTTACATTCATGCTAAACAAACCAAACAATGTAATACAATATTATCATAGTAATGCTACATTCGAGTAATGTTATTCCCAAAGGTAATTTTACATTTCGTGAGCCAAACTCTGTAACATCCTCCATACCGGGTTAGTGATTAAATTGTGAAATTTTAAAATTTAGTGATCAAAGTAGATAAATTGAAAGTTGAAGGAATTGATTGAAATATTGGTGTAGGATCAATTAGCAAAGCAAGGGGAACTAAAGGGGCAAATGAGTCTTTTGACAAGGAAAAATAATTAAATGATAGTTGAGGATATTTAAATCCACGTGGAAAGCTAATGAGAGAAATAAGGTTCTGGATATTTCTTTCTTCTTCCTTATTCTTCTCTGCCGTAAAGCCAAGCTAAAAGTGAGTTTTCTTGTGATCAAATTCTTGATGAATTTAAGGTTATTTATTGATCCTTAATTGATAACTAAGCTTAAGGAAAGCTTAGATTATCTTAAAACCATAAGATGAGGAGAATATGAAGAATCAAAGAAATGAGGTAGAAAAGTGAAATCTTGGATTATAGCTCATAATAAGAATTAGAAGTGAGTTTTGACTTGTCATAAAGCTAACTAAGAAGTATGAGGTGTTAGAATTCAAATTAGATCATGTTGGAATTTGGGTTAGATTCTTAAATTCTATATGGAGAATTGGATTTCTAAGTTTTAGAAGTATGGAATGGATAACAATGAGTTCAAGTAAGAGTATGCAAGTTAGGTATATAAAAAGAGGGAAATATAAAGTGTTAAGTAGACTAAGTGTAACATCCCAAACTATGGGTTAGTGACTAAATGGTAAAGTTTCAGAATTTGGTGATTAAAGTAGAAGAATGGATTAGTTCAATGATTTATCTGGAAATAAATCCTAAAAGTTGTTAGTAATTATCAAATGAAGTAGAGGACAAAATGGTCATTTAACTAATAAATGAATTAAAAATAAATATGATAAGGATATATATGTTAGTGGGGATAAGGATGAAGAGATATTCTCTTCATCTTCTTCTTCTTCTTCATGTACGAGAGAAAGAAAGAGCCAAGCAAGCAAAGGTGAGTTCTCTAATTTCTTGATTGTTTGTTGATTTTAAGCATGAGTTTTGATCCATAGAGGATAACTAAGCTTAAGGAAAGCTTAAGTTATCTTAAAATCAAAAGATGAAGAAGTTATAAGAGATTTAAGAAAACGAGTTTTTATATGAAATCATGGAATAGAGTTGATAAGTTGAATTTTAAGTTGAAATTGACTTGTCATCTATGAGAATAAGAAGATAGAAGTGTTAGAATTGTATTTAGAACATATGGAAAATTGAGTATGATTCTTGAATTTCATATGAAGGATAGGATTTTGAAGTTATAGATGATTTTCATGGATATAAGTTAGTTTAAGTAATGGTAGTTGAGTTTAATGACATGGTAGGGGTTTAAAATAGAAGAATTGAAGGAAAAATTGATGATTTTCGAGCTTAAAATACAATTTCTGGGTAGAGGGAACTGATACCCTATGAATGGGAATCGATTCCCCTCTTGAACGAAAAATTCCAATATGTTCAGGGGGTATCGATTCCCCTGGGGGTATCGATTCCCCCCTAAATGAAAATATAGAATTTGATTTATTAAACCGGTTTAAGTTATTAACATCAGTTTAAAGTTTAGGCTTCTGATAGTTGTTTTGAAATGATATATTTATGTAGATATTGAGCCTAAACAAGTTCCGGAATAATCAAAGGATTATAATCGAATCAAAGCAAGGCTGAGGTGAGTGCATACTAGTGATATGTAGTGTTTAATGGAAATAAGACTTGCGATGAGTCTATTTCCTAGAGTAATATGCATGAAGTCATGGACATGATTATGTGTTGTTATAATTATATGTGATTATCTGTATTACATTGATTGTATGTATGCATGACTAAAGATAATGATATGCTTTGTATATGTTATGTGATTATGAATAGGTAGAAAGGAAACAAATGATGATATAAAAATCTATTATAAGATATATGATATGAAAATATGATAGTGAGCTATGTGAAAGAACTATGAGATATATGAGTCATATAGAAAATATATGCGAACAAGATATGACATCTATGTTTATATGAAACAATGCAAGGTGATATGAGCTATGTGAGATATGAATATAAAATCATATGAGAAGTGAAAAGAATTACATGAAAATAGACTAAGTGATTACATGTATATGTGAAAGAAGCTATATGATACGATCTATGTGATTACATGCAACATATAATATTAGATATATGTTTACACATACATGTGGTATGTGATAGAAGAGAAGGAACATGTGATTATGAGATCAATGATTACACGTACATGTGATACGTGACTGAAAAGAAAAGATATGTGTTTATAAGAGAAAGAATATGAATAAGTAATGTGAACTGTTATAAATGATAATGCCCATGTTATGTGATATGAGAGCTAGGGGTATAGTTGGCATGCCAAGGGTCGAGGGTTTACCTATGTTCTTTGGGACATATGGACTGTTTACCTATGTTCTTCGGGACTTATGGACTGTTTACCTATGTTCTTCGGGACATATGGACTGTTTACCTATGTTCTTCGGGACATATGGACTGATTACTTAGGTTCTTCGGAATCTATAGATTGGTCCTTCGGGACATTGATCGAGCTGTTGTGACAGCATATGTGTGCACAACCTCAATGTACTAACATACCTTAAGTTCTCAAAAGTATACATGGGCTAATACATGGTCTTTACAGAGAGTAAATAAATAAATTGATTTGCTACTATGTATGTTTTGTTGTGAAGTAGTATATTTGTTCCATGGTATGTAGAGAAATGTTCGTTATATATATACTTAAACGATAAAAAGGTATTAAAAGTACTTGTATTATCTTATGTTATCATGTATACTGAATTATATGCGACCCGATTGAATTCATAGATTGAATGTTTATATTTATGAGAAATTCATTATTATTATGTTTTATATGCCTCACTAAGTCAACGACTTAGCGTGTGATTGTTTCACACGTAGGTTTCGAGAAGAGTAAAGAGTAATGTGGAGCAAGACAGGTCAGTTCTCCTTACCAAATGTCAGATCAGAAAATATATGTACTGTATATAGAGATGCTGATAGTATTGAATTTGTCCTCGTTCCAAGAGGTGGTCAATCGTGCAAAAGCTCTTGAGAATGCTCAGAATGAGAGATTTAGGGATTTCAGAGTTCAGACATCAAAGAGGACAGGTGCTCCTTCCAGCTCAGCACCACCAAAAAGAGGAAGAGACTCAGGATTTCGATCGCAAGCTAGATCTGAATCAGTTGCATCCTCAGCTAGAGGAGCAAGTCAAGTGAGGCCTGGACAGATGCAATTAATGGGACCTGATGCTGGGAGATCCACTCAGATTCAAGCGAGACAATGTCAGCATTGTGGGAAGAATCATTTTGGGTCATGTCGGATGGTTTCTGGAGCTTGTTTTCGTTGTGGAAATGCTGGACATTTTATTCGGGATTGCCCGTTATTGGTTGGTGAGCCTGCTTCATCTGAGAGAGTTGGCTCTGCCTCACAGAGAGGACGAGGAAGAGGTAGAGTAAGGAACCAGTCTGAATCCTCTGCTCAACCTGAAGTTCGGTCAACTGCATGGGTGTACAATTTAAAGACAAGTGAAGAACGTGATGATCGGGATATTATAGCAGGTACTTTTCAGCTGTATGATAAATTAGTATTGGTACTAATTTATCCGGGTTCTAATTATTCTTTTATTACAAGTAAGTTAGTAAAGGAATTGAGGATTCCCTTAGAAGCTACGAGTAATGAAATAGTAGTAACTAATCCTTTAGGCCATAGTGCTCGTGTGAACAAATTCTGTAAGGGATGTCCCATAAGGATTCAGGGAATTGAATTCCCTGCTAATCTGATGGAACTACCTTTTTATGAATTCGAAGTAATTCTGAGAATGGATTGGTTGTTCCGTTACTATGGAGATGTTAATTACAGATCAAAAAAGGTAACCCTGAAGAGTCTAGGAGGAATAAAGATAAGT